AGTGAAAGCCATGCATATACCTTCGTGGTGGGGTCCTTCCTGGCTAGTCTCTTCAAGTGCACCGCCATTTCACTATCTACGTCCTGCGCACCCCAGAATGAAAATACGACACTATATTATTACATCTATGATCCCAAAATAATTACAATCACGTAGTAGCTCAATTCAAGACGCTCAAGCTCAAAGATTCCGAAGAAGCCATAGGATGAGAGAGGACATACGGCAACTGGCACTGAGTCATCGCTTGAGATAGAAGAATCGAGCCGCGAACTACCGACATACCCACCGAATCCCATAGTGGCACCGGAACCCGACGGCAAAAGCGACGCCGCAAGACTGCAGGAAGAAAAGCAACCAAGAACAATTAAAAAAGAAATATTGAAAGAGAAGCTGATGAGAGATGCTGTAGAAGCTCCAAAAACAAAACTTCGTAAAAATTAGCAAAACAATTCACCTGCTGCTTGAAGGTCGCGCCTTGCTTCTACCTCCTTCACCTTTCGGCCTCCCCATTATGCTACTTGTGACAAAAAGCACCTAACACTAAACACCAAGGGAGGCTTCGTCAAAAGAGGATTTGCCGACCAGTGATGGCTGGATAGTCTCTAATATTATGCCGTGAGGCGGTAAACGGGCTGCCGCTGCTCGTCGCAGCCACGGCGATCTCGTAATCTGGTATGAGTTAATGCCAGGTCATGAAGAACTGCTTACCAATGACGCGCTGCCACATCATGAAGAGAGGGGTACGATGGTCATTCAGACGTAATAGATGATTTGTTAGATTTATTTGGAAAATAGAGAATTTTTTTGCCACCTGAAAATATAGAATTTATAAATTTAAAATAGAAATAATATTTTTCTCTGCAACAAAATTTAGATTGAATTTTTTATTATTATATCTTTCTAACTAAAATTATACTCTTCCGGTCCTAAATATAAGACCTTTATATATACTAGTATAAAGGTCTTGTATAAAGATCTTATAAAGGTCTTATATTTAAGATCGGAAGAATATTTAATCTTGGCTGTATTAATTCCTTTTGTTGTTTTTTATTTCTTTTTTTTTTTACATTATTTACCAAACTAAATAAGATAACTAACGTAATATGAAGTTACATCCGTTTCAATCATGTCTGACCAAACTGAATCGAAGTAATATTGTATTAAGCGTTTTCTATTGTATCAAAAAATACAACATCAGACGCCTGCATGCCTGTTATATAAGATTTTTTGGTCAACTTTTAATTGAGTCAACAAAGTAACAGTCAAACTTAACTTTTCTGTTAACCTGATATATAGACATACTATTTTAATTAGTTTGGGATACTGAATATATCAAAAATTACTTTACACTGAAAACACTTGGAAAAATAGCTCGTGCGCACTTTAATCCAAAAAACAATTGTTGTACCAAGAATTCACGGGTTCCCAAAAACTGATACAAGTTGAGGGGGTGTTTGGATATTCTGAAAAGTGCTTCTCAGAAGCATTTTTCCATAAATCGAGATAAACTCCTTCACATATTTACCTCATAGACCGTGAAATCACTTCTGAAACTATAGTTTGATTTCCATCCAAACACTCCCTGAATATGAAATTATTTGTCCACGTTAGTTAGCCCCAGCCCAACAGTAACGCCATCATCATACTTGGAATGAGATCATAAGCTCAAGCCTGATGTTAATTTTAAGAATAAAAAATTATGAATATGAAAGGAAAATGAAAACAAAATAACTCAAGAATTATAAGCTTCCCACGCATCATGGGGGGAAGCACATCCTAGTTTAATACTACCTCCGATCCTAATTATAAAAGTTAGTTGACTAATTTGAGGAGATTAAAGAAAGAAGTTAAATTAGTCATTTGTAATAAATATGTACATTTCCTAAAATATCCTTGCTAATTAAATGTATTGGTTATAACTACCATTGTTAGGAGGACTATCTTGGAAAAATGCATAAATATGAAAGACAAAGTGGATTAGGATCTTATATTTATGATCAAAATAAAAGTTAAATAAAGTCTTATATTAAGAACCGGAAGTGGTACAATAACAACGTAGTTTGCTTTAGATGCGTATTTTATATTATTTTTTGGATTTATATTACTATTTTTTATATACAGAATGATTGGAATCAACCTCTACTCACACAGTCACACTCCATATATTACTCTTATATTTAGGACTGGAGGAGACCAAGAGCTTCTAATTCTAACTCATATGGCACCTTACACTTTCTCTTACATAGGAGTAGGGGTAGAAATATGTCAGGCAGCTTATTAGACTGTTAGAGACCCACAACCTAGTCTGCATTTGGCCTAATTTGGTCTGGCTTATTTAAAATTAGGAGGAGGCTCAGGTTTTTTTTTTTTTTTCAAATATCTGTTTCTCTTAATAAGTCAAGTCTAGCTCTTTAATAAGCCTATTAAACTTGTTAGGCGGACTGGAGCTATTATATTTGTTTTTTGCAATATTACTTTATTGATACAAAGATGATAAGATCAAAATGAAATTTACATCTGTTCTCGTCATTCTTTATGCTGTATGGGATTTTTAACCGGACCAAGAAGGTTTTAAAAAAAAGGGAACGGTGAGGCTAATGTTCTGTTTTGATTTTAATCTTAATCAGCTTTAAATGCTTTCATAGAAATATTGAGGGAGTGCATGTTCAAGCCCCCACTGTCAACTTTTTCTTGGTGACCATACAAAGTAATTTTCACATCGTCTTTATGCTTTCTTATGCCTCTGAGATGATAAAAGATTAATGTCTCCTTGAAGGGTAATATTTTGCGTATCTGTGTATGCATGTACAAATATAAAATAGCAAGTTGGCAGGGCTTTTGGAGCCTTAAAAGTAGTTTATTTGTATTGTAAGCCCGATTGAAAAAATCATGGTATTTGTTTGGGTTTAAAAAAAAAAGAGGAGCTTATGAAATTTAAGCTGACAAACGTACTTTATGGCTCAAGCTGAATTTTGTAGCTTATTAAAGAGCTTATTATGGCTTTTAACCGCCGTGATGTGTCAAGGGCCATATTCTCTCACTTTGTTTTTTTTTTTTTCACCTCAGCTCTCCCACGACTGCGTTGCTGTGAGAGGGTCTTTTTTCTCCTTTATTGTTCTCCCACTTCTACCATTATCCCCTATCCCTATTCACTACGTTTTTTTTTTTTTTTAACCAAGCTTTCATCACCCATGACCCCTCTCAAATTAACATAAAAGCTCATTACTTTGCCGTCCAAGGAGCTTTGTTTTTAAAATATTTTTTTTTTAAATTTCAACTTTTAAATCACCCATTAAATTTCACTTCTTTATATTAAATTAATTTAAATTCATTATATTATACAAATTTATTTTTTTATCATGTTTTATTATTTATTAAAACTCATATCTATTTTGGTCATTTTACAACCAAACTTACTTTTATTTAATTATAATCCAAACAATTTTTTACCAATCTTACTTTTATAAATTAACTTTTCTGAACTTCAATCCAAACACAATTCAACTTATTCAATTTAGTTTTTATCCAATTTTACTTATTCATAAGTTACTTTTCCAATCACTGATCTAAACGGACCCAATATATAAATTACAAGATTTGGAAATTTTGGAACACTACACGCGCGCGCGCATGTATATCCGTTCACGTAATTCGCATAAACTAACCTAGCCAAAAAAACCCAAAACAACGCATAAACTAAGCCAAAACATGTAGGCATAATCAAAATATTCAGCCATTTGTCTAGTTTTAGGTTGAACCCTGTATGAATGAAAATATTTTAATTTTTAGGTCTTTTTATTTGAAACATAAACGAAATATATTTGCTAAAGTGCTCAAAACATTGATTATTGCCGTAATTTGTTGATGGATTAGATTAGATTATATTTTATGTTTGTATTTTAGATATTTTGAATTGAGTTACTGTAATTTTGAATTAATTTATGTATATTTAAATTTTTTAAAAATACAAACTTTTTAACATGTTTTAGGCCAGGTTAGAATTAAACTGAGCAAAACACATGTAATAAGTCATGAGCTAGGCTTAGACTAACAGACTTCAAGATAGGCCTAACATGTTTTCACCTTAGAAGAGGTTGTGAGTTACTTCTACACCCAAGGGACCAAAATAAGGGCGGGCGTGTGGTCCTCTTTCCTGTGGAGGAAGGGGCGTGTTAAATTAGCCACACAAAAAAAAAAAAATCATTATATTGACTATGGTTGGTTAAGAAAAAGCCAAATCCATTAACCATCAACCTTCTCTTGTTAAATAAGTTTTTAGCTCCTCGCAATGCGAAGAGAGGGCAGATTATACGTCAGAACTTGCCCCTTGTAGTTGAAGATAAACATCTTAGACTATGTTTGGATTACCGTTTAGCCTACAAAACATATCTTGGAAAACATGAAACGTGAGTTGGAGAGTTATTTGAAGAAAAATAATTGTTTGGGATAGCATTTTGTTCCATCATCACTGCAGCTTCAAACTAACTTTTATTTACTGGAACTTTTTTTTTGTTTTTGCCTTTAACCGCGTTGCAGTGAGTGGGACCCACCAATTTTTTACCTCTGTGTCCCTCATTGGCGATCTCTGTGTAGGTCAACACATTTTTTTTTTTTTCCTTACCAACACTAAGCAACACATTTATATTATTTATTTTTTTTAATTTATATATTTTTTAATTTGTCTATTATACATATTTAATTAATTATCTACAATGTGTTTTCAAATTTTTCTCAGTAACAAATATTCTTATTTTATAATTTCACAAATAAAATATTTTTATTTTATCATAATAATTTTAGATTTTTTTAACTATTATCACATCAAAAACATAAAATATCAAACACTATTATTCAATAAAATCTATACCTTTTTTAACTATTTTACAACTAAATTCACTTTTCTATTAATTATCCAAATAACTTTTAACTTTTCCAACTGATTTTTTTTAAATACCTATCTAAACATAAATCGCATTACACTAACTGACTTTTTTTCTAACTTCAGTTACAAAAGTTAGTTAGAACAAAAGTCAGTTTTGCCTACAGCCAATCCAAACACACCCTTAATCAGTGAAAAATCATATACAGTTTACATGCCATCTTCAACAGAAATTATTTCCTTCCATTCAAAAATATCACAACCAGAGCCGCAAATAGAGCATGATCATAGGACCCGGGAAAAATTGTCAGCCGAAATTTTTTCCTACTGACGAATAATTGGTTGAGCTTGTACATCAGGCTAGTCTGCATAAATTTGAAAGCACAGAAAAGAATCAGTCTATCAAATATTGCAACGTGATGCACTTTCTGCATTGATACATGTTGGAATATAGATATTTTTGAACCTAGAGTCACAAGTCTGCTGAGTTTCAAAAGTTCCTTCTGTCATCCATGATCCAATTGTACACTACAATAAAACAGTTTTAAGTGTACTACCAGTTGCCTCAATTATATACAATGTAATAATAATTCTTCTGCATAAATGCATTAGGGGAAAAAAAATTGGACAGAAAGTATTTATATCAGAGAATCAACAATGTGTTGCTAAATTTAAGAAAAATATTCACGTGTTATGTTTCTAATAAACATGATATACGTAGACATAAAAAGTTCCATCTGGGTCTAAAAGTTTCTTGGGCTATATTATTAGTATACTAAGTTAATAATGATGATTGAAATGGAACATGCAAAAGAGGAATGGAAAACCGTGAGTCTAAACCAGAAACGAAGAGAAATTAAAAACCCTACGAAAAGGAAACGAAAATAGAACCAAAAGCTCAAAGCAAAAGGACTAAAGGTCAAATTCTAATGCCCTGTTTGGTCCAGTTGGAGGAGTTTTTGATGGAAGTGGAAATGGGAGTGAAATAGAAGTGGAAGTGGAAGAAGAAGTGGGTTTAAAAATGTGTTTGGTATCACTATAAAAGTATAATATAATTTTTAATCAATATGTTAATTTTAAATATGAAAAGACCAAGCCTCCACCTAAAAAAAGACAGTCACACATCAACCTCCACAAAAACTACCGGTGGCCATCATAGAAGCTACCCGCGGCGGCCACCCATCAACAATAACATCAATGAGCAAAATATCAAGATGCAGAACCACCCATTAACAGAGAAAGACAAATGAATTGAACGAAAAAAATGGAGGTAGTAGAAATTACAGTGAAAGATATTAACAAAGGACCACAAAGGAATTGAATTGAAAAAATGGAGGTAGCAAAGGAGAATGGAGACAGCAAAAATTGTAGATTGAAGAGGAAGAAGGAGAAACGACATAAAGATTGCATATCAAAGGAGAGACGCCGTCGATCGTTCGCAGCCCGCAAATCACTAGATCAAAGAGAGAAGACGTTGTCCTTGTCGCAAAAATCGCAGATCAAAGAGAAAGGCGTCATCTGCCGTTTCATGCACCATCGTCCACATGACGTCCTTCTCCGCTGCCTGCGCTAGCGTCCTCTCGTCGTCCTCCTCTGTGTGGAATCACGCTTGGGTGAACATTGTCGGCCTTGCCGTCAACTAAGATCTACAAGCTTCTCCATCGTTAGATCACTAGACCAAAGCTTGCGATGGATGTGGACCAGGAAAGAAGGAGGGAGTGATGGAGGAAGAAGAAGATGGGATGAGGGTGACGAAGCTTGGAGCGGCAGAGGTAGGTGGCTGATAGGAGGGGGTGGGGCTAACATGGTCAGAACCTCCTCCATGGAACTGAACTGAGTTCTCCGGGAGCAAGGAAGTGCCAGTTCCCAAATTTGACGGAATTGGCACTCTTATGGAAGTGGCTTCAAGCATAATACACACCCCAATTTTGGGCTCCGGTTCCACTTCCACCTCCCACCCCTCCAGTTCCATGTCACCAAATGGGGCATAAATGAAATGACAGGCGAATGAGGAGGATTCATTGGAATGGAACAGTGCAGGACAATTTTCTTAATGGGAAAAGGAGATGATGCAGCAACCAGAGCATAAAATGAGAGGAGAAAAGACATACTACTCATTCATTGCATAGAAGAATTAAAGCTTTACAAATAGCATTTTCAGCTTCTACAAATCACAAACAGCTTTCCTAAATTAACTCCTTAATACAAGGTTTGCCCATACTTTTGACAGTGGCGGTTAGCACTAAATATAACAAAACTAAGTACAAGCTAACGTTGTGACAGCAGCCATTAACAGGTTACATTAATTTCAGCAAGCTTCATCATTTTTTCAACAGGATTCAATATGTTGATTGATCAAATACTATCAAGCATATCATAATAAGTTGAGCAGCTCCCATGCACCTGAACCAAGCTAATGAGAGATGGAACAGCAGAACCCCATCTCTGAAATGTCAACACGTACATTAGTTATTAGCTTAATTTAAGTATACTATATCTACTTCAGAACTTTTTCCCCCTTCCAAATTCCAAACTATGAACGTATTTGGTTTGGGCTTTACGTTGAAAACCATGGAAATCATGGTCTTGATAGTTTTGATAGTTTCCAATGTGAAAGCAAACACACACTATGTATACTAGTTGTATTACGCTTGCATCCAGAATCATAACTTATACAACATTGGAACTAATTCAACGGGAAAGAAAGACACAGGGGGGGAGATATGAGAAAGCTAATTGAATCTTTTGCCGAGGTCTGATCGTCAAAGAAATAATCCAATAACACACAATAAAAAACACAAAGCGGTAGTGTTTAAAAGAACAATGGCAGAAAGCTTCTACTTCAATGGCAGTGAGTGAAGGGATGAGGTTCTACCTGTGCCAACAATGAATTGTCACGATAGATGCTACATGATCTCTGGAAAGGGAAGCCTCTAACTTTCAAATCACAGGTTGAGTCTTCTAATTTCTCACCGGTCAAAAACACCTCCAGCTCAACTCTAGTAAGCGTTTTCAAGGACCTCTGAACTCTGAACACCAAATCCTTCTCCTCGTTACTATCGCCCTTGTAGCATTTCCATAATCCATTCTACCAAAACAAATTGATTCAATAAACATCGATTACAAAAATGGAAGTTTCGCCAGACAGGCTCCTTGTGCTTCAAATGTCTGAAACCCAACAAAAATTATGCATTGAGGAAAACCAAATTTCATTTAATTTACTCTCACCAAAACCATACAGAACGTCATTATTAAGTACGGTCCATTCTTGGCTTGCTAATTGCAGAAATTGCAGACCAATACACCAACTCTTCACAAAAATTACGCATCAGGGGAGATCAAATTTCACTTAATTCACCCTAACAAAGATCACACAAATGCCATATCTAAGAATCTCACTTGACCTGCGCTAATTATCTGATTTCAAGAAATCAATGCGAACTGGACTATTTTTTCCCCCCTTTTCCTATCACGGACTAAGGAGAAAAAAAAAGAGTTTCCGGGGAGTTTTCGTTTTCCCGGCAAATTAGAAAAAGAAGTGAGAAGCTTACACGGTACCGGTAAATCGAAAGGAGGGGTTCGCCGGAGGCATCAAGCAGTACTTTCTTATAGTTATTGGAAGGCAATGATTTAGGAGAGTGAGGGTTGATCCTGAAGACTAGATTACTGGATTGATCGAGAAAGGCGAGATGGCCACGTGTGACTCCGGGGTGTTTCTTCGACACAAACAGATCGATTGCAATTTCACCAACCACAGGGTACGCGTACTCCGAGGCCTCCGATTCCATAGCTTTGTGCTTCCAAGGTAAACAAAATTACTAAATGAAGCTTCTTTTGGATAATTAAGGATCAAGATGGCGCTATGTAATCACACGCAGCGCGTGAGTTTATTTGAAGAAAGAGGAGCAATGCAGACATTCCACAGCGTGTTGTTGACGAAACCGCCGGGAAGATGATCGAAGCTTAGGATAATCTCACACGAAAGTCTCTGCAAATAGTTTTTTAGACATTTCTGGTGTATTTCATATTTTCACTGCTGCTGCCGCGCAACACCCCCCCCCGCCCCCAAAAGAAAAACATAAAAAAGGTTGTTTTGTATTTTTAATTTTAATGAATAATTTTTGAAGTGATATATAGATTTTTTGGTCCAATTTGGAGCACTTGCATGTTTAGAAAGGGTAATCTTGAGAGCAGCTACATACAAAGCTCTTCCAAGTTCTTCTCAAAAACAAGAAAATGAAATAAGATACATTGAAACAATGTTTATCTTCATTTATGTTTTGCAACAATAATTTATGTATTTTAGAATCCAAACTCTTCGTACCGCCAGATAGACCACGCCCCTTTCTTTGAAGCTGTCAGATTCTGATGTTGATTGTGGGTTCGTTTGTGCCCGTCTCTCGTGTTACCTGCTGCAGTTAGGATGAGGAAGGTTCCTTGCATTTACGATCATGGAGTACTTCAATTTATGCGTCAATTCCAATGTGGTTCGTCCAACGTTATCCGTTGTCCCTACTCTATTTATTGTTATACTACTATGACTCAATACTAACAGAGCCTTTGAAAAAAATAGAGGAGATAAAACAAAAAAAAACCTCGCGACTCATCATACATTACTGTGTCAAACTCACGTTGTTTGTGCTGGTATGCTATGATGGACATTAACACTTGTTCCCACATTACAGTAAATTGATTTGGCAAGGAAGCAGGGCGCAGAAGTTTCAGTTACTATATCATTTCCCCGGTTTCCTGTATTCAACAATTTTGCCGTTGATTTACCAGTATCTGATTGTTCTATCTTCCAGCGGGATGATGGATTATCCAGCATATAGCATGAAGAACTTTAGCAATAGTTGTTGTTGTTGTTGTTGTTAGGCTTCATGAAGTTAATCTGTTTATCGGTCTCTGTCTTGGCTAAAACTGAGCTGCCAGAAGAAAGTGGTGCAGGGATATGCCATGAAATCAGTAATTTCATCTTCTTCCCATTAATATCTGTCTATCAGCTCAGTACTCGGTAAGAATGTCTAGTTTCATAATTTTAAGTATTATTGGCACTCCGGAAATGCAAAGTTCACTAGTTCCACAAATATCGCAAAAAGTTGAAACACACCTGGCATCCTCTGCAGAAAAGAGACTAACTTGCCTAAACAACTTATCCTTCAAAGTTCAAATAGACCTGAGCACTGACTACTTTTATGCCACGAGAGAATTAGAGATGAAACAATGTTCTTCATCCAAGATTTTTGCATATGCTTCACATCCTTGACATTGCATAGTCCATCACATCTACAACGAAATCTAAAATGAAAGAAATAGCCAGAATTAGCAAACAGATGACAGGCTGTGGTAAGAGAAAGAAAAGGTTGATGAATGAAGATAATTATTGACTGTCGACCTGCATCTTCTATAGTGAAGCAAAGTGGGGGCGTGATCCGTATAACATTGCCATGAAAACCACCTTTCCCAATTAGCACTCCCATATCTGAAATTCTTGCAATCAAAACTTGTTAATATTGTATATCTGCATCGTAACAAGATAGAAAAATCATAAATACAGTTTTGTGAACATAAAAACATCATGAAGACAGAGTCTGAAACAGGCCTTTCATCTGCTCCATAATCCGGAGCATTTCAGCCTTAGCAGGAGTTTTCAACTGACGATCTTTCACAAGCTCAACACCAAGCAACATACCTCTGCCCCTCACATCACCAATTACTGAAAGCAAGTGAAACATATTAGTCATCAACACTGACAGATCTCACCCTAACCCAGGAAGCCAGTCAAAAAGTGAAAAAGAATAAAACAAACTCACTTTCATGCCTTTCCATTAGCATAGAAAGACGATCTTTTAAATGTTTCCCCACAATAAATGCATTCTGTTGAAGCTTTTCCTTCTCGATTACTCTTAAAACAGCCAGCCCAGCAGCAGTGCAGACTGGATTTCCTCCGAATGTACTAAAATAAGTGCGCTGTGTTAAAACCTTTGCAATCTGAGGAGTTGTTATGACTGCACCAATAGGTGCACCGTTGCCAATTCCCTGACATCGCCATGAATAATGAAACTCAACACCAGCAGAAATAAAGTGACCCATTTCATCAAAATAACAACAATAAAATGACCCAGCTTATCAAGTGTACTTCTTGTCGTTGGTTAAAATATGATGAATGCTTGACAATCGGTGTTTTATCCAAGCGTGACCAATGAAAATCAGACATATCGCGAGCTCCCTAAAGAAGTTATATACCTTCGCAACAGTTACAATATCAGGCACAACTCCATGAGCCTCAAAGCCCCAGAAGTGACTCCCGGTGCGGCCAAACCCTGACTGGACCTCATCAGCTATACAGATGCCTCCTGCTTTTCTGACCATGCCATAAACTGCTGGCAAGTAACCTGGAGCCACCTCGATCACTCCACCCACTCCCTGTCAAGCATGAATCTTTCACTTCATATTACACATGCCATTATGAAAGCAAAACATCATTACCTTTTACTATATCATATAGCTAAATAGTGACATTACCTGAATGGCTTCAGCAATAATCCCGGCTACACGACCGCTCGTGCCATAGTCAATTATATCTTGAACATCTTTTGCATACATTAGTCCATCTGAACCAAAAACACCTCTGTAGGGATCGGGGTTAAGCACGTGGTGGATTCCAGTCTACCAGCATAAAGGCAGTAACAAGAGTGAGTGCAAGTTATGGTGCAACGAACATGCAGCTTCAGTTATTTTTGATTTCTGCTAGAAGTCATGTAGATGCGGAAGGGGCACCTGTACAACATTGAACTTGTGAAAATTTTGTGCAGTGGCATTCATTGTGGCTGCTCCATTTCCATGGTAGCCATTTCTGATCGAAATTATATCTTGACAACCAGTGTATAGCCGGGCAATCATTAATGCAAGCTCATTGGCTTCTGTCCCAGAATTTGTGAAGAAAACGACCTGAAAACCCGTCATCAATGACAATTAGCATCGGAGGACGGTTTCAATCATGAGACTGTAAATTCCCATAAAAAAAAAAAAAAAAAACCTTGAGTTCTCCCGGCAACTTAGACGCCAATGCCTCTGCAAAATCAATAACTGCATGGTTTAAATAAACAACAGTGGTATGCTGCAAGAGTCTAGTCTGGTTCACAACTGCTTCAACCACATCAGGATGGCAATGCCCGCATGAAACCGTGGCAATTCCACCAAAAGCGTCCAGATAGCGTCGACCATTTTCATCAAACAGGTATTGCATCTTACCCTCAACCAGATTCAACTGCCACCACATAAAAAGTCGAAACGTTGGATACAAAATGCAGCAGTCTTGAATATTGATCAGGAATTAAACAAGAAACTACAAAGAACAGTTCGAAGGCCTTACAGGGTTATCGTAGAAAGGACCAAGGCAGGTGGACAGATACTCTCTGCGCCGTTTCAAGAGATCGGATGCGGAAGGCCCATTGTAGGGTGCAGGAGTGTAATCAAAACACGGCATTTCCGGAAGAACATCGGCGCTTTCACTGCTTCGAGCGATGCTGGAAAGGAAACGGCCCTTCCACCGGGAAATCCTCGCCGATGTTACTACCTGCTGATAAAATTTATGCATGGTCGCGTCAAGCGTCCTCTGGCTTCAGGCTGGTAAGTTAGGCTTCCCTCCCCTGGTGTCGAGCACTTCAAGCGTCGTCCTCTGGCTTCGGTTAGGCTTTAGAGTATCATCTCGGTTTTGTCTTTATTACTGCTTTATGACGATGATCTTGGTTTTGTCTGATATTAAATTTTAAAAAATAAACTGATAAGAACTTGATCTTAGCCAAAAGGCCGAGAAAGGTATAATAGTTAAAATTATTTATACATCAAAATTCTCCTCTTACCATTTTTTTGAAATGACTGATCCTCTTCCTTATCGGAGAGGTCTAATCATCCTTATTTGCTCCAACTCATAATTGAATCATTCTATGTGCAAATTAACAAATGCTGGCGCCGGCTGCCAAGCCACCATCCCCAACATCATCAACCTCCCGCCGTCTCCGGAAAAAAGCTTGCCGCTGCACTCTTGGAGTCTACAAAATGAGTTAATTTTATAACATGTTCAGGTTAGTAATACAATAATACAATAGAAAATAAGAAGATATGCCTTAAAAATATTTTGTTGGGCAACTAAAAGTGTTTTAATTATTGTTAGATTATATTATCTCCGGTTCTTAAAACAATAACTAATTTAATATTTAATTTGATTCTAAATATAATATCTCAATTCATTTTGTCTCTTGTATTTGCTCTTTTTTTTTTAAAGTAGTCATTGTAGTAGTTACATATGTTAAAGGTTTTATCTAATACATATTATTGGTAAGAGTATTTTAGTAAAAACAAGACCTATTTATTATAAATAACTAACTTAATTAATTTTTTTAATTTACTTAAATTAATTAACCAGCTCTTATATTAAGAATTAGAACTGCTTTTAATATGAATCAAAACAATATGTCAATGTTGGGATTTAATACTCTGAATAAACGAAAGTGAGATCTTAAAATTATAAAGGAGATTTATATACTTGTGTTTTGGTCATTTTTCCGAGTAATGATGGTTTACGAAAGGAAAGCCCTTCCAAGAGTTCTAAGAATAATCGTTCGGCATTAAAAGTTAGAACTATGCAAATAATAGCTTCATCCAATTAGACACAGAACAGATGGGTCGGTTCCATGGATCTGATTTCATTATTAAACGCGAGGTGCAGTGCTTTCAAAGAGTAATTCATGTACTAATTCATTCTATTCTGTTCAACTAGTTTTGTTTTGGTACGTCAAAATTATTTTTTTTTATCATAAGTCAAGACAATTTTAGTGCAGATGAAGTTAAAAACAATGCAATTTTTATATTTTCCGAATAAGATCAATCATTAAAGTTTTTGAAACCTGGGGAATTTTCATATATATGATCTTGAAACTCAAATACTAGTTTCCTTGGCTTGATAAAACTTGTAAATTACAAGGTTGACTAATTAGAAAATGAACTAAATATATACATGATCTTTAAGACAAACATTACTAAATGACTTAAGCTATTTTAATATGAAGAGAAGCTTAATATATGTGCCTAATTTTCACTCACCAACATTACATGAAAGAGAAAATGATATTTTGGGAAGAATTATAATGGGACCTCAAAAAAAATAATTACTAAAATGTTTTAATAACAGTATAAACAGCATGTAATGAAATTTCAGAATAAAAAATAATAATTTTTAAATTTTATTTTATAATTATTTTTTTTATTAGGACCCATTATAATTTTTTCCATCTTGGGGGTCCATGTTTCACGTGCCGGGCTTTGAAGGGATTCTCTGGTACCGCTCCTCTTGTCCTGTTAGGAAGCAAAGACAGACAGAAGAAATTTTTGGGTTTAAGAAGAGGAAATTTTTTTTACAAGAATATATAGTTTCATCATTTATTTATTATTGAGTTTACTTTTTTATATAAAATTTAATATATATTAAATTAAAATAAAATTAAAAAATTATTAAATGTTAAGATAGAGTTAATAAAATTTAATATTTTCTTAATTTGTGTGAAACAGAAAATAACTTATAAATATAATTAATAAAAAAAGTGTGGTTCGGGTATAAAAAAAAAAAGTGTGGTTGAAAAAGACAAACAACATGATATTACCAGACAAAGAGAATCAAAGGCCAGACAACAAAAGATAATCGTGTTCATAATCAAATCTATGATTATGCTAATTAAACAATAAATGAATAATTAAGTTAACGAATTCCCCTCATAAGGTAACAGCAGTACTGTCTCCAATTTTTAATATAAAAGGCAAATAATCAATTTAAAAATATTAAAAAATTAGTTATTTATCACGTGTTAGCTTTTTTAGACTATCATTCTTAATCGTTTTGTATTAAAACTATCCTTTGGTGAGAACCTATTATAATCATTAGGTATGGTTTGATAAAAAAAAAAGAGAAAAAAATGAATTCAGATTTTATATTTATATTCAAATCTAAATTCCCAATTAGTTTTTTTTTCTTTCTTTGTTTTTTTGGCCAAAAGCCAATTAGTTTTTCTGAGTTCTACGTGACAAAATGAGCAAACTTGGAAGAAGGAAAATCAACTGGCAGTAATGATTATCACGGCCATTATTGGAAGGAACAGCATTATTGTTTTCATTGCTGAATCTTTTGTTGGAGGAGCTCACCATTCATCAACAGATTTAGGTGTGTATATTATTATATCTTGAGCACTCAGAGGCAGATTTAAGGAGTGTTTGGCTAATTAGGAAAGTGCTTTTAAAAAATTTTATTTTTTTCGCAAATCAAAATAAATTTTTTCACATATTTATTTCATATATCGTACCTTTTAAGACCATTGTTTGGTATTTATCCAAATACCTTTTTAGTATGAGCTCTTCTTCTTTTTTTTTGTTACAACAATTTTAAGAAAGGTGTTGGGCTTATTCACGTTCTAAGGACATGACACCTAACACTTCATCTAGTAAAATCTCTCCTTTGAATAAAACTGAAAATGGGGCTAATGTCAAAGTGGGCTCATGGTTGGATTGGATGGCTCAAAATTTTTGTGGCTGGCCCACCCCAAGGTCACCGATGACGTCACAAGGACAGAACGCTTCTCCACCCAACCCGTCTCCGTAACGCTTGAAGCTCTTTATTGTTTAACTGCACTACGGGACTTTATAACAGACATTCTTGGTCATTGGAGTAGGAAACTGAGATAGGTTCATTTGTTTCTATATTTGTCAAAGATGCTTACTCTTTGAAGTCCTTTTTTTTCTTCCAATTATTATTATTTGAACGTGTATTTGAACCAAGGAGAATTTGCGATCGATAAAAAGATCATCACCTTCAACTAAAGGAAACTGATTTTGAAGAACTTGCACTAACTGTATTAGCCCTATTATTGGGTCACTTTCTCCAAATACACCATTTATGTTTTAGATTGTGGGAAAATTATCATTGACTGTTTCAAAAATTATAGTAACCAATCTGTTTTTCTATATGTTTTGCAAGGAGTTTCTCGTAAATCACATTATTCGTGACTTATTTTGCTTACTGCGAATTTTATACCGCGTGTGTGATAAATCACATTATTCATGACTTATTTTGTTTATTGTGTGCATGCGTGCATCATGATAGTTCTAATTCTTCAAAATAATTCCTCATAATATCAAACTCAATGTCTTGCATCAAAGTCATTAAATATATTTTCTTCTAGCATTACTCGGGTTTAAGATTGAACTATTTACCCTCTAACCACATTCCATGCCATGCCGACCACAAAAAGTTATTGTTTGATTTTTTTTTTGGACGGGTATCTTTTTATTGAAAATAATACTGTTTGAAGCATTGTTAAATACTAAATATAGCTACTTTTTTTTTATAAGAATTTAAATTTCAGTTCACTATGTTGTGAGAAACTATTTTTTAAAAAAATTAAACTCAACTCCTATTAATTGTTTGAATTTCTCATGAGTGTACCCAAATTACAAAATTACAAAGAGCCATAGATACGATATCTAGGTCCAATCTTTTTTAGATCCACATGTTAGAAGGAGGGCCCATTATTAAAAGAACCTAACCCTTCAAGAGATCCATACTCTATTATTTTCTTTTCATAAGAAACAATCTCTTTTATAGTGATGTTTCTAAATTTAAAAAACTAATTTTTTGTTTGAAATTTTAAACCAGTTTATTCATTTTTAATCTCATTAAATATATGTTACTTATTATCTCTTTAAAATAAATTTTCACTCATTAACTCTCATGTATTATCTTTATAAACAAGAATATAATTAATATATATTACATATTTCTTACTTTTACGTAAATCTAACTAATATTTTGAACAGTACTACCAACCAGCCGTAGCCTCCTACAGGAGTTTCCCATTTCATATCCATTTCACTTTCATTTCATCTAACACACTCAAGACCTTTTTTTCGGGGGAAAAAAGATCAAATATATTAAAATGAGAATATTATACACAAAAGGTCGATGCCTTGTAAACCAGGGAGCGGGAAGGCAATAACCATGAGTTATATATACAAGGAATGACTCACTCAAGACCAAATTAATCTGTCTTGTCCTGAGACTCAGTCTCAAACCATCTATAAATGCGTCTGATTATAACATAAAATTCATTGCCTTTTGCAATGAAGGTGGTGGTCGACATGGCACCACATTTAACTTGTTCTACCAGTCACATAAAATATCATTCTAATTGGCGGCAGCATTTCTGAACTCTGGCTTTCACACTTCACCCCTCTACCTAGACTTTTTTTTGGGGGGCATTAAAAGGACAGATATTAATTTTTGAATTTTTGGAATTAATAAGCCTAAGGTTATAAGCAGAATCGAACTTGTGACCTCCCACTCACAGGGAGCGCCATGAGACCTTTGGCACCCCTCTAGACACTAACCCTTCCTTTTCCAGCTTCAGGACATATAAATCCCCCCACACACACCTACCCCAACCTCATTAGCCAAGAAGGGCAGTTCAAGTTATTTCCTGATCTAAAGGTGCTGCTGCTTCTTCTTTACCATGGCTTCAGCTGCTCTTCAATGGCTAAGCCTTGTGGGAATGATTTGGCTTCAAGCCATAAACGGCACAAACACCAATTTCCCAGCCTATTCATCTCAACTGAAACAGCTCCTTTCAATTTCACAAGTGCAGCTCAACAATCTTGCTTTTGCCTCTGATGCAGGAAAACTTCTTGGCTGGTTCTCAGGCATGGCTTCTGTTCACCTCCCTCTCTGGCTTGTTCTCCTGATCGGTTCAAGTCTTGGGTTGGTTGGTTACGGAGTCCAATATCTCTTCGTAACACAGCAAATCTGCTCTTTGGCCTACTGGCATGTCTTCTTACTAACTGTTCTGGCTGGGAATAGCATTTGTTGGATTAACACTGTTAGTTATGTCGTTATGATCAGGAACTTCCCATCTGATCACCAAGTTGCTGTCGGGTTAACAACTAGTTATCAAGGGTTAAGTGCAAAGATCTATACTGATATTGTTGAAGTTCTTTCTCCCCACAAAAAAGCCAGAGCCTTTCTTCTCTTGAACTCTATCTTACCTCTCATAGTGAGCCTCATAGCATCTCCTGTAACTAGAAAAATTGAAATCGCAAGGCCTAAACGAATGGGTGTTGGATTTGTTGTAATGTTTGTTATCACAATCTCCACAGGTGTATATGCTGTACTTAGCAGCTTGCAGTTTTTGTCACCCCAATTATGTCCATTGAGTAATCTGCTTGGTATTCTAGTGTCTCTTCTCCTCCCTCTAGTGCTTCCAGTCTCAGAGATGATCGACGAATTGGCGAGATCATGGCAAGCCATCCGAGAAAGACTAAGAGTCTGTCATTGTACTGTGCAGGAAAACAAGAGACCTAACGAAGAGAGGATAGAGAGTGAGCCAAAAGATGGAGAGGAGGAGGAGAAGGAAGAAGAAGAAGATAAAAACAGAGAGGTTCAAGAAGTTGTTGTCAGAGAAGAAATTGGGGTGAAGTTAATGCTAAGAAGAATAGATTTCTGGTTATATTTTTTAATCTATTTCTTCGGCGCAACTCTTGGCTTGGTCTTTATGAATAACTTGGGACAAATTGCTGAGTCCAGAGGCTACTCCAACACTTCATCTCTGGTATCCTTGTCTTCATCTTTTGTGTTCTTTGGCCGTCTCATGCCATCTCTCATGGACTACTTCTGCAGGTAAATCCTTAACAAAAATAGTAGCTTATATATATATATATTTGGGGGACAATATAACAAACATCTAAGAAACTTTACTGTCTCAACTTTTATCGCACATTTTCTGCCTTGTGTCCTTCTGATCTACCACCGGCTGGTGCCATTAATGCAGAAAATAAATATCATGTGGTGGTTTATCTGCAACCCAACATTAAAGTCTCTATCTTTTGTCTTTGACATGGGTTCAAATTTTTCAGGGGCAAGATTAGAATTTCAAGGCCAGCGAGTATGGCGGCATTAATGGCTCCAACAGCAGCGTCGTTCCTATTGCTTCTCAACAGAAGTGACCGAGCCCTATACACGAGCACGGCCATAATAGGAATATGCACTGGAGCTATCACTTCCATTTCTGTGTCCACAACCACTGAACTATTCGGGACAAAGAATTTCTCAGTGAACCACAACATTCTGGTGGCCAACATTCCCATTGGTTCTTTTGTGTTTGGTTACTTGGCTGCCCTGATTTATCGTAAGGGACAAGATGGAGAAGGGAAATGCATAGGCATGGAGTGTTACAGAAGTACTTTCATCATCTGGGGTTCGCTCTGTTTCTTTGGGACGTTGTTGGCTCTGATTCTCCATGCCAGAACTCGCAAGTTCTATTCGCAGAGGAAACAGTAGGATCATAGCAGAGAAAGGAACAATTCGTCTCTTTTTTATTTTATATATATATATATATATATATATATACACCTTTTATGCTTTTTGATCTGTCATAAATTGATTCCCAACTCACAGGAAGCTAAGTATACATTATAGTATCACTCAGAAACTACTCGGGATCATACAATGCACAGTCAGATTATGTAATGAGTTAACTGAGGCCTGAAGCTCATTAGGCTGTATATTATGAACTTTTAGAATGAATCCTTTTAATAAATTTTATGATCTAAGGTTGTTATTTTTTTTAAATAATTTTTAATGGTTTATGGTATAATCTTTTGATATTTTATATGGTTTAGAGGTGCATATGACTGGTGGGTCGGTGATGAAGGGGATAGAGGAGGAGGGGTAGAGGAGAAGGGTAGCTCCTTCGTGCACTTCTGCATTTTCAATTATTCAGAACTAATTATTAGGCTTAGATATAAATTTGCTGCGAAAACTTTTACTTAAAAGTATTGAACACCTAAAAATTTTTTTAGATGTAAATTTGTCTTGAAAATTTAAAATCGTAATAACTTGCCCACTATTACTAAAAATATTAATTATCAACCTTATTATTTTAACGATTAATGATAGTTTTTTAACAGGAAGGGATAATATTGTTACAATTTAAAACTTACAGAGCAAATTTGTACCTAAAAAATTTAAGGGTGCCCAACATTCTTAAATGAAAACTTTTGAAACAAATTTACACGTTAACCCATATTATTTTCAAGTTTATGCTACCTATTACTAATTTTTTAAAAAATAAATATTGAAACTTCTTGTAAAACTTAATAATAATTTTAATATTCAAAAATCATGTTATACATATTTATATAAAACTCTAAAATAATTACATTAATTCAGCTTAATTTTTTAAACCTTGTGTAATACTGTGTCCTAAAATCTATGTAATTTTGCTTTCTTTCTTTCTTTTTTTTTTTAAAGGACAAATGATCTTAAATTATAAATAGGATCCAACTCACAACTTTCCACCTGGGAGGAAGGCCCGAAATTTATGCAGTAGTCAGGTGGGGTGGTGCTGTGTGGAAAACGACACCGCTGTGCTTCGGCTTCGATGACTTCAGAGTCGTTTCGAGCTCTGACTCATTCTAGTAATAAAAGTCTATTGAAATTGACGCGAAAAAGTTGTGAAATATGAAAAGGAAATTAAAACTGCTAATGGAGGAATGGATTTCACTATGTTTTTCTCTCGAAGAGAATCCATCTATATAACCAGGAAAAAGAAGAAGAAAAAGAACACAGAGCACCAGCAAGCAGAAGGTAAGAGACAAGCGTATTTGTTCAGGTCATTAACGCCAATTAACAGAGATATCATAAATTTATAACTTTACTCTTAGATCACACGAACTTTTTAGAAATTGGGATCAAATTAAAGCAGGATTATTTACGTTTTCAAATCTGACATTTTAATTTCCGACAAAATACTAATCTAATACATGAAGAACAGAACTACCCATATAAGGAACAATTGTTAATTATTCTACCACAAGTTGACATTGAGATGGGGACGTGCTTTATTAATATTATCAAACATTTCAAAGCTTATAGACCAAGTGTTATATGGGAACATTTCACGTAAGAAAGCGTGTTATATGGGGCTGAAAAAGTTTGATGGATTTGAGAGAAAACGAGGTGGACTTGACCTAAGACCAAGTGTGTACCTACATTCTGTGACATTAATTGTGAGAACACACACGATAACACGCGAGTCGTCCTATGAAATATATGAATGGAGCCAATCAATTAAAATTCCGACATTGAAGTTAATAGATAGCATCCTTAATTACTTGGGTGGGTTCTCCTCTCACCCACACCCAATGACGCACACATGATGTCTGCCTCATGTCATTCTCTTATTATTAATTAATTTCAGTCTCTGATCCATCATTTTGTTAGCAACATTGTTATTGTTTATCCTTTTAACTAACTAATGTTTAACTATTTTCAGCACTGTTCCAACAATAATAATAACCAAGTTGAATAGAGCAATGAACTAGGTCTACAAATGAGGAAATATTATGTTTCTGTTATTTAATTACTTAGTTGATTAGTTGATTTTAACGATTTTTGCAAAGCTTTAAGAGTAAATGCATTAATAAGCATACACGCGCAATTATATATCAGTTAATTACTTATTATTTCGTATTACGGGTTTTATCGTATGATTTGGAAAAGAATCATACAAGTACTTGATAGATAAATGAATCATGGATCCTTCTAGCTACTATTTGGCAGAGAAGTTCAAAAAAAAGAAACCGCTTTCAGATGAGTCATATATAACTAGCTCAGCTGAACACGTCAAATGATAATACATAGATAAAACTAATAATATTATATATTGGATCATTGCTGACATAGGCAGGAAGAAAGGCCAATAAGAATTGGATAGTAATTGATGTGCATATAGCTGGATTGGATGAGACAAGAATAGCCATAAATCCTGGATTTGACTGTTTGGCAAAATTGGAGCACGTATATGAGATTGATGGAGAGATCTAGAGTCGTACGTGATCATCGTTGGTGGATCGAATAATAGTTTCAATGCCGTATAAATTTCACGGCTATGAAACCATATTAGATTTGCCTACGTATGCTGTGACGAAACGAGAGTTTAAATACTGAAAGTGAAAACCCCAGAAACCGACAATTCCCCTCCCTGCCGTTTCACCAGCTCCTGTGCTTGTTTGTGGATTGTGTTTCCTCTCCATCATCGTGCATGGCCTCCAAGCAAAGCAGCGCGCTCGATCACAATTATGTTCATGAACAAGGTGATTTGGACATTGATCACGTGTCACACTTGTCAGTAAAAGTATGGTGCTATTGTACGTATTTCGAAAGTTATTTAATGTCCAGTGCTTTATTTATGAGGCTTATTATTATTTGGCTTAGGAGAAATTCATGTCTGTGTTTATCTTCTCATTAATCAAATGATAGCAAGCCACATGCATGCATGACTCTTAAAAATTTAGCGTAAAGATAATTTTATAAGAAATTCAAATGCTGAATGAGGACAATATAATGTACCAGAAAGTCAAATCTCTAATGAATCTCACATGCTTTCAAAAGGCATTGTCAAGAATCAACAGAGATAGACATTGAAGTTCAACCGTCGCACATGATATTCATCGATCCCCTTCGTTTCGCATACATCATCCATCTAGTAGGTGTTAGTACTATATATGCATCCTTAACCTAGCTAGTTTCATATACTACTTTCTATTTTCAATATAAAAACTAGTTTAACTTTTAATTTGATCCTAAATATAATATCTCAATTTACTTTGTCTTTCATATTTATATATTTTTTTAAAAATAATTCTTGTAATAGTTATACATGTTAAATGTTCCATCAAATTGTAGTCCTGGCTAATAGTTACTAAGGTATTTTAAAAAAGACAACATCTATTTTTTACAAATAACTAACTTAACAAACTTTTTTAATCCGCTCAAATTAGTCAATTAGCTTTTATACGAAGAACTAAACGGGCAATATTATATTATGTTTCAAAAGTATTATATTTTTAATCAATATAATAATTATTTTATCAGACATTTCATGATTATTGGGAGAGTTGACCTGTGTGCGTGAGAGAAATATAACGTAACTTCAGCTAGAACATTCGTGTGTTGGAGTGTGAATGGCATGAAATAATGTCAAAACAAATAAGATATATTTTTCCGATCCTAAATGTAAGATTCATTTCATAATGAAATTTGCATTATAAAATGAGTCTTAGTATAATTTACACTACGAAATGAGTCTTACATTTAGAATCGGAGGGGTACTACCTCCCGTTCTTAGTATAAGAACTAGATAATTAATTTAAAGATATTAAAAAAATGAGTTAAGTTGGTTAATTGTAACAAGTAATTGACTTTATTAGACTAGCTACCGTATTTAATATATATTAGAACTATTTCTTGGTGAAAGCAATTACAATCAATAGGACTATTTTAGATAAAATATTATAAATTTAAAAAATAAAGTTGATTAAGTTTTTACATTTAGAACTAAATTTAATCTCTGAATTAGTTTTGATATTAAAGATCAAAGATAGTGTTTTACTGTTACCATCATCACCCCGGGAAATATCATGAATTAAAGTAAGAGATCTAAATTACACATGCAATAATATAATATAAATTAGGATATGATATAAGTTGCATACATATAGTGATGATCTATGTATACTCCTCCTGTTCTAAATATAAGACTCTTATATTAGTGTGTATAAGGGTCTTATATTTAAGACAGTATATATATATGCTGGACGGCTTATACACTCTATCATTTTAATTTCCCAGCATTGTTTGATTTGATTATTCAATTAAATACTATATGAGATCGATTTTCAGGGGATGAAAAATGTGATGGATGAAATGAGGTATTGGGGAGCACTACCACAGGGGAACTTGTGGACTGATCTAAATTATATATATGCCGCCCGCTGAATATGAAGAGAAGAATTATTAAGGCTAATTAATTAATTAAGCGTAACATATATAAATACGTGTGTGTGTGGGTACTGTGATTTACGCAGGGAGACAAGCCGTGCCATTGTGGGTGTTATTCATGTGGGGCACTTCCACATGCACATTGCCGCGCGTTTACCATATGATGACCTTACTTGCACGACACGGAAGCTGTTTTGTTTTTCGCTTGCATGGGATGGAACCAAGATTTATTAAACTTCTTAATTTGTGGGAAAAGTGATGGCTAGCTATATGGAATGTATAGTTAAGTGGAAGGGGCGCTTTTCGGGGATTCCCTGAATTAAACATTTAACACTCACAGCTTATTATTATGATGTGGCCGGAAAGTAACGTTTGTCTAAAGCATATATCAGTTTGTGTTAGGTCAATGGTTTCTCACTATTTTATATATATACATGTGTATATAGCTACCAAAATCTAACATTATTATGTACGTAATTAATGTCGTATGTTTATAAAGTCTTCTCCAATATTCCTGCATTCCTCCACGTGGTAGTCTTATCTATGCCAGCTTCTCGGCTCCATTAATCACATCATTCCATATCCTAAAAATGGCATAAATTAATTAGTTAACTATGAAATTTGAGTCCTCATTTTTCTTTTAAAAAAATATCTGTCTGTAAAACATGTCGCTGCCTTTGAATTATTATTGA